ATAAAGTTGATAAAATATATATTAAATTATATTTTTTATATAGTAATAATATTACTAAAATTAATATTTAATATTTTTTATAAAAAAATTAACAATTATTTTTAATTTCCGCAGGCAAATTTGCCTGCTAGACAATCTAAGGATAATAAAACGTCCTTAATATTTTTGTCAGACTTGTTTTATTGGAAGGATAATAACTACCCTTTTTATGATATAATTAAGACATATTTACCAAATTTAACGATTATTATGTGGAAAATACACATAGCCAAATTTGAGCAAATACGTTACCAAATGCAATAACCAATAGTATTATAAAGCAGGCCTATGTTATCAGTAATATTAGGGATATTTTATTATTTGATTGTTTAATAAAATTATATTTTATTTATTTTTATTTATCAATTTTTAGTGAATTATGATCCCGCATTTAAAAACATGTATTGCAAATCAAGATAATATCCATATAGCATTAGGACACTTGATTTTCTATCAAATAAAGCCAGCCTTTTTTTATTACAGTATTTTCAAGAAATATTTTATAATTGTGAATGAAGTGGGCCAAAACTAAATAAAAAAGCCAATAAAAAGAAATCTTCAGAAATTTATCAGCTTGTGACCCTAGGAAAAGAGGTAGGCTTACGGTGTTTACCAACAGGATATAGCATATCGTATCCACCACAACCTGGATTATGTAATCAATATAAACTTCTATTTATTGATGACAATGGTACAGTATTTATCTGTGGTCATGCCAATCATTCAACTTGTTATCACGGAAGATGTATCTATTATGAGAAGTTCTATAAAAAAGGAGTGGTTAAAAATATTGAAACATTCTTAAAGTGAATCGAAAAATCAACAAATACATTTACCTTAGAGGATCATGTTAATGATGATAATATAGAAATGAAGAAAAAGAGAGAGATAATGAAAATTTCAGGAAAATAGATAAAACACTAGATATTTTATCTAAACTTACAATAGAAATTAACCAAATAGAAAATTGGTAAATATATAGATTAGTTAAAATAAAAAAAATAATAATTGTATACTAACTGCGAATGATTTTTCAATAATAAAATATGTTAATATATATAAATATTACCTTATAAATGTTTACGCAAGCTAAGAGATTTCAGAGATAGGTTATCACATTTTTATTGTATAGCAAGTGAAAAACAACATAGTAAAGTTTTTTTATAGCATTGATAATACTTTCGGTATATGTATTCTTATATAAAATCTTGTATAACATTTATGCATAAACAGAATTTCAGTCATGCACAGATTATACATGATATTTAACATTTTTATTATTTAATGTAGAACATATTCTTCAGGTTAGTTTCTTCCTAGTTCGGGGTATGACACTTCTTTAGATTAATAGATAATCAACAATTTTCTTATGAGTTACTCGTGAAGTTCCCTGACATTGATAGGCAAAACAATTCCAATAAATACTCTTTTTTGATGCGATCTGCTTATGAAAAATACTCTCTGATTTTTAGTACTGGTTCTTTAGTCTTTAGAGTTAGTAATCGATTTGATGTAACTAATCAACCTAGATTTCAATGTATCTATTAGAGTAGCTAATCGAAGGAAAATAGAGACACCCATCCACCCACCCCTGAATCAGACTCATATATATAGAAAAAAATTTTTTTATTTGTAAATAAATAATTTAATTTAAATTTTTATTTGTAAAAATAATAAACAAAAATGATTACGTTAACAATATAACAACCTTCATTTTGTTACGTAAACCATTTCTAATAAGCTTATTCAATAACTTTTTTAGGCATGATTTCAAACAATATGAAAGAATTCGTTTGTTATGTTAGATAATTAATTACCCCATTATTATGATATTGCATCATTGTGATCGTTATATGCTTCTTGAAAGTATTTTTTCTTTTTTTTTTTATAAATTAAAAAGTATACTATTTTTTCGATTATTTTTATCGATTTTTATTTAAAATATATGTTAAAATATAAAAATAAAAAATATAAAAATTTATTAATAAAATTTTTTTATCTAAAGCAAAAAAAAAGACCAATTTTTTACTTATTTTCATTTCTGCCTCTTTCTTTACATAAGTTTATGTTTAATATCCTAATTTTTTTAGTTTTTTTTCTAGAAATAAATAATTTCATATTTTATTATCTTCGTACTAGGGTGTAGTAACCAAAAAATAAAAATTAGTTACCTTTTCGCTCCAAAAGGTACTTTGAATAAAGTGTTTCTCCAAGGCTCTCTGAGACGTCGCCTCTTTGTTTAGGTGAGTTTAGATTCAATATTCTAATTTTATAGTTTTTTTTTCTAAGAAAAAAAAAATATTAATTAATTTATTATTTTTTTTTTATATTCGTCGTGAGGCATAGTAGTAAAACCTAAAAAGTTTATATATCTTTTTCCTTTGAAACGATATCAAATGATAATTGGAATAACAAATTTGTAAAGATAGACTATTCGAGGATTTTGGTAGCCACTTAAGTAAGTTTCAATTTTGATGTTATCCTTTTTATTTATTAAAAATTCATTAATTTATTTAATTTATTTAATTTTATCCTTAAAAAAATAAAAATTTTAAATATATACCTTTTCCCTCCGAACCTTACTTTGATTTGTCGAAATGCTATTTCAATTTCGTTCTTCGTTTAGGTGAGTTTGCATTTATTATAATTTTTTTTTTTACTTAATCAAAGTCAAAAAAAATTATTAATATTTTTATTTATTTTTTACACTAAAAAAAATACTTTTAGATATTGTTTAGGTAAGTTTCAATTTTGATAGTTTTAACTTTTTTTACTTCATCAAATTTATTAATTTAATCTTTTACTCTCTTAGCATGAAGTAGTGGTAGTAACTATAAAAAAAACAGGTTAGATAGATCCCTTTTTCCTTTGAATTGATATCGAGAGGTATTTTGTGTTTAGTTGAGTTTTGATTTTTAATTTTTTTCATTCTATCAAATTTTTTTTTTAATGTAATCTTTACTTTTTGGCGGATGCAGTATTATAGTAGAATTATATACTTGTGAAAGTCAAAATTTTTCTTGCACATTTGTTGATTCTTTTGTTTAGGTGGGTTTCAATATAAATGTTTTATTTTTTCTATTTACTATATCAAAAGCAAAAAAACATTATGATTTTTTTAACTTCTATTTTTAAAAAAAATAATATAATATTAGAATAGCATAAATATCAATATTCCGTGTAAGTTAGACGCATTTTGTTATGTACAAGATTCTTTAAAAAGAATTACGCAAGATTATACTATAAAAGAGCTTACCACGATCATTAAGATGGATGAGAATGATTCGAATAAAATTGTGTACTTGAAAGTTAAAGCTTTTATCCCTTTGAAAGAAGCTACTAGTAAAATAGACCATTTTGAGGTTGGAGATACCATTCACTTGAGAGGCAAATTTATCGGCTGTCCTAATTGGTACTTGGTAATATTATACGAATTTTTTTAACATCGTTAATGATTTTTTTTATTATTAATCCTAAAGAATTTTTTTTAAAATTCTAGGTGAATTCAACCTCTATAAAGACATTATACTGGGATTTTGAAGATATGTCTCTAACTGGGATAAATGTGGTGGCTTCGGATGTTACAACACAATCTGTTAGGAATCTAGACGAAAGATCGACATTGGATTTTTACATAAAGGAACGATTAGGAGACTGTGAACTGTGAAATTTTCATGTGGAAGTCATTCACAGTGCTACAAATAGTTACCTCGCAAACAAGACCAACTCTATCAACAACCAGAGCATGAGATCCACTACAGCCCTCCTAGTAGGAATAATCTGTTATGAATAACTGATCATTGAAACTATCAGCGGCCAAGAAACTACCCCAGGAAAACATATATTAGATTGGAAGATATTTCCCTTATACCTTTATTTAATCAAAGACAACCAACCAACCGTTCTGTAAACGTTCCTTGGGCAAATCACAATAATAATCATTCAGCAATGCGTGTTTCAAGAGGTGTAATAAGAGCTAGGAGGGGACATCAAACCTTATCACAAATGAGCGCTACTATCACCAATGAAGTATCTATTAATGCTAACTCAACCCTTACGACTGCAATGAGCTTCAATCCTATTCCCCCAAATTTTGGTGTTGATAATAATCAAGAAAACCAAAGTCAAATTGACCAAGATTTTCATTAAATTGATACAAACGAATAATCCAATTACAGAAAAATTTTGCTTACAATGAATGAAACTAACTTTTATCCATTTATTTATATATTAAAGTATTATATAAGTATATACTTACAGTAATCTGTCTACATGTGTGTAAAAGATTTTACCTATTTTTATTTTTTTATTTTTTATTTTTTTTGATTTCAATATTAATATAAATATTATATATATTAATAAAATCTTATATTTCTGATAATAAAACAAATTCATTTTTTTTAATTTATAAATCTGATAAATTGCATAAATATATATATAAAATTAAAAATCTTTAAATCATAAATCTAATCTTGTAAATATTCTTTAAAATAATATTAGATTCTATCATTAATATAAAATAAACTCATTAATATCTTAAAAATTGTAAAATAATTATATGTGCGATAGCTTAGGTGAGAATAGAATCATTATATTAATTTGCACCTGATTATTATAGAAATATTTGAAAAATTTTACCATTAACAACATATATATATATAAAAACTCAGAAAAGAATACCTGATTTTCTCTCAACTTAATAACATACTCATTATGAGCTATTATATCAATACAATATACACTTTTGATGATGAATATGAGACAGTATTAGATTGGAGAAATAATAATACCAACTCGACTGATTTAAATCAAACACATGATCTTTCACATGAAATCTCATTGACTAACCCTCAAAACACTAATATGCAAACAGTTCTGACACGATGTTTTTACTGGAGACCGTCATCAAAGTTACAAAGTTATATGATAAATTTCAAAATAACATTCTTGGTTAATATCTTCGCATTGCATGTGTTTATTACGGAAGGCTTCTATATCCTAAAATATCATCTTGAATACTCTATGATCCATCAATTATCTATCCTTTACAATAACATATACCTAATATCTCCCTCTCATTTAATCCTAATATCAATCATAATGGTAGATTCAAAATACCTACTTATGAATCATGTAAAAGACCTTCAACAAGATTCTTATTTCCTCATTTTTCTCTTATACCACAAGATATCATTTCAGTGCTATTACACAAAAGAAAACATCTATCACCAGTTTATTTACATTGTTCATTAGGCAGAACCCCAAATAGCAATTCTTACTCTGGATACAGGTATCTTACAGGAGCTATGAATTACTCACGTAATATCAGAACACACGCTTTATATTCAGGAATATTAGGAGGTTTTTTAAAACAATCTGATGATACTAATAATATGATCAATTCAAGCCACACTATTGATGATCCTATTCATGATAGAGCCTTACGTCAAGCTGCTACTTGATTATCCCAAAATAATCCTTACCTTCAACCATATACAAACTTATTAATATCTCGTGATGTATCTAGACAGATCATAAACCAACCTTTTCCAACAGCTACTCATATATCGACTGATACCAACATTCCACCTGTAAATCCTCGTGATATTATAGTACCTAATTTTGATTTTCCTGATGAAGTCCATAATGAAGACTTTTATTACTCTAGATTAATAGCAGATTTTGTTCAAGAAAGTGATAATTTACGAATTCCTATCTCTATCTATGATTCAGATTTAGAACCATTGCTCTTTCCTGATTTATTTACTGATGGAAAAGGTCACTTCTATGATGTGATGAACCAATCAACTGATCATGATAATGAGATCTGTTATGAAACTTATGGAAAATATATAAAGCAACGCCTGATGAATTATGATTCAAGATGGAGATTTCACCATCACTAGCCATCTTGGTCTTATCTTCAACTAGAAAAACTGAGACATCATTAAAATACTCAACGTTTACTAAGGCAATCTAATAGTAATGCAAGTTCTAGTATTCTACTGACTGCTATTCAATTACTTAGACCTAGCAATTATAATAGATACAATATTTTAGATGAAACTAAGACATTCTCCCTTTCTAACTTTATATGTACTGAAGATACATATTTTCATCAAAAATAACTGCATCTCAATACTATGTTAAAGCATAATGGACTTTCTACTCTTTTTGTGATTTTAAGTATGGCTGAAAGTCATTGGACTTACCTACGTCACATTGTTATTAATACTAATAATAATGATTCATTACCGACAAATAGACCTTATCATTGTGCTAATTACTTCATTCATAGATTTCAGTCTTTAAAAAAGGAATTGTATAAAAAACCTGAGCTTACAGGATTTGGCAGGATTACAGACTTTTTTGATTGAGTTGAATTTCAAAATAGGGGTGCAGCACATACTTATAGCTGTTATTGGACAGATAATACTATTGCAGATATAATAGCAAATGATATTATCTGTTCAACAATACCTGATCCTTTATATGAGCCTGAATTATATACATCTGTAATAGCTAATCAAATACATACTTGTAATCATAAGTGTCATGGTTCTGCTCCACCAGGTTAAACATGTAAAAAAGGTTTCCACGTCCTTACAGTCAAACAACTCATTACGAAAAAGGTGCCTCCCATTATGTTTACAAATGTTTGACTAATGCAGATTCTTGGGTAGTTCTATATCACCCAGCTATTCTCTTATTATGGAACGCTCACATGAATATTCAGTATATAACTGATAGAGGATTTGCTCGATATATGGTAAAATGCATTGTTAAAAGAGAACCTTCACATATATTTAATATACAAGAAGGTGATAAGGTTGCCTCCTGTATTTAGTTTCTAACAAAATATGAATTACGTTACGCCTTACGTATTTTTCATATTTATTGCGTATTCATATTTAAAACGTATTTCGTATTTATAACATTATTTTATAATGCATATTTATTGCATTATTCGTAATTTATTAGTATTGCATATTTATGATGTATTTTGAAAATCAATTCAGAAAATTAACCATATTATATGAGTGACAGCAGGAAAATTATCTAAAAAATTTTTTTTTATATAAAATGCCGTTTTTTTATATGGAATAAACAAAAACTATTAAAATTTTGAATTTCGTTAAAAAATTGGAATTTTACATTATTTGCAATAATTTCAGTTGTTATTATAAACTTCGTTATGGATACTCAAGACTTAACACCATCCACTTTTATAACCAAAAAACGTGACCCTAAGTTCTCTCCAGTTTGGTCTTACTTCACTCCTTGTGCAAAAAAGCAGGCGGTCACTATAGTGGTGCTTGTAACTTTTGTGAATTTAAAATTTCAACCGCAAGTGTTTCAAGTCTTGAAGAATATTTGGCTAATGTTTGTAAAAATGTACCAGAAGCTGTAAATATACATGAAGTCGAAATGAAAACCCAAAAGTCGAAATGTTTCGACTTTGGAGGTCAAAGTCGAAATGAAAAGTC